AGTACTTTCGGCAAGCGTATAGAAACGTCGACAGTCAAGTGAGATTCAGTTTGTTCTTCGTTTTTAAGTAGGCGTGTGGCAGTTAGTGGAGTACCTTTGAAAACTTTGGCCTGGTGGCGTATGTTTATTGAAATGATTTGGACTTTCTGCTGGAGCTTCAGTCGCACGACTAGAATTAGAACGGCCTCCCACGTGACCCAAGCTATGCGCCGAAAGAGTCTTCTACTTAAATTCTGGTGGTCATCACGCACTGCTACTTGACGCCTTTGGACCCATAGAGAGATGGAAACAGGCAGATAGTCAGCGCTACTGCATTTTGTGATTCCTTGGGTTGATTTCCAGAGAAACATGAAAACGGCAAATGAATTACAACAGCCCAAAATGACTGACTAACTACACTTAAGATGGGCCCAACAAATGCTGAGCACTGATAAGGAAATAAAGAAATAATAAAAATGAAATTAAAAGAGGAGAAAACTTCAAAGGTAGTAAAGCAAGTGGCGACACTCGCCGCTCGCTTTAAGAAGTACAACATTTCAGGGCAACATAAACAACAATAAGTCAGAAACATAAAACACTGAAGAGTGGCAGACATTTCCACTTTTACACTGCTAGAAAAATGTGTGCCTAATTCAAAAGATTTATCTATATATTAGAATAAAAAGAACAAGAGGAATGCTCTGTAATTCTCTTCCAAGTGAATTCCACCCGAATTATGATTACAAATTCATTAAAAATGAAATACGCATACGAATCTTTAAATAATATGGTTTTTTAAAAAGTCACTAAACACTGATTTTTTGAGCACCTGATTTAAGATTATATTGCAAACAAAAAAAATTGTCGGATTTGAAAGAAGTTTGATCGACATCAAAGATTAAAATATTAAATAAATATTAAAAGAAGAACAATACTATTTGCTAAAATGTCAATACAGTAAACAATCGTTGTTAGGGAATAAATATCTTATTTTGTTTTATAATGGTTGCTATTTCTGTGAAGAGACATACAAATTAAAAGAACATTAGCAATTTTTACTCTAAATATTTGTAAAAAGTTCCGGCTTTTATGTGCACTAAAAGTATTTTTTATGAGATATACGTAGTCTATTATGTAAACTCTACAAGGACGGTCTATCATACCAAAAACTAGCCGATACATTGAATTTCCAGAGAATGTTGCAAAGAAATGGGAGAAAATGCCGAAAATTATCAAATAAAGTAGTTTGCTTAGAAATTAAGTATTCAAAATTAATATTTGGTCTAACAAATTGTGTTTCGGGCAATACTTTTGATTGTTTGATTGTGATTGATCGCCACTGTTTCTTCCTGTGTATTGTGACCAGTCCCAGTCCCTCAGTCAGTCCATCAGTCAGCTCGTCATTCAATTTGAGGCTTATGTATGTATGTACATACGTGTATGTAGAATATAACAAAGTCATGTAAATTTGAAGCGCAAACAATTGAGGCGACGATGGCAAGCAGCTTGCGAGAGTTGTTCAGAGAATCAACAGCAACAAAAACAACAGCAACAACAACAGTAATAAGAAGGAGAACGCCTGGCGCTGAAGGTGTGTTGGGTATGCGGCTGCTTGAAGTGTGCGTGGCAGCACAACAACAATTACAACAACAGCAATAACAGCAACAATCTGAGCAACAACGGCAACGCCTGATTAATTTCAACTGATAAGCGCGTCATTTGCTTTTGTTGTGGGTTGTTGCTGTTAGCTGTTTTACGTTGTTGCTGTTATCTTTGTTGTTGTTGCTGCTGCTGCTAGCTGTGTAGGCTGCTTGGAACGTCGCAGTCGCGCATGCGCAAACATTTTTCAGGTCATACGCCGCACATTTTTATCTTTATAGCATTTTAGTGAAACATGCGCACATTGCTGATGTTGCTGCTGATGTTGTTGTTGTTTGTCTTTCAGTTGTTGTTGTTGTTGTTGTTGTTGTTGTTGTTGCAACCTCGTCAACATCAACACGCTTCGGGCCACGTTCAAAAACAATTACCCCACAAAGCGGCGAGCATGTGCCACTCCACAGATAAAAATCGTTCGGCTACGCAACGGCGGCTTTGACAACAGCCACACCCCCTCCCCTCTCTCCCCTGCCCTTTTCGCTTTCCCCAAGCAGAAATATTTACAACCTGATACTAGTCGCTGATTGCGCGCAAATTCAGCGTAAATTTGTGAAGCCACAATCTCGGCTGGGGGTTGCAACTAAAAGGTTTTTTTTAAGACTCGCTGATGAGCTCCTAATAAAGTTGTAAATGGGTTTGTATCTTGCAAGTGTTGGCGTTGTCGTTGGCGTTGGAGTTTCTATCCAGAGCAACAGTCTGTAAAACAGGCCAAATTACCGTTACAAATGTTTTGCAATTAAAGCAGATAGACCAGAAGGAATGAGGAAAAAAATGAAGAAAAGAAGAAACGCTACTAATAGTTTGCACGTCCGGCAGTTGCAGTTCCAGTTGCAGCTGCAGCTGCGCAGTTGCCGATCAGCAGCGAATAATTTAGCGCAGATCGCCCATAAAGAAGAACTGTAGCCGTGCTCTAAGTTATGAGCCCCAGCAGATAGCCTAGTGGAGTTCATCTCGAGCTCCTGCTGCACATGTGCAATTACAATGCCTGGCACCGTACAGTGAACAGTCGATGGGAGACATTTCCAAAATATACACTTTTTCAATTCGCTATCATTTAATTGTTTCAAAATTATTTAAAAGAATTGATACATGTTTCTTGTTTCTAAATGCAATGCAATTCTAAATAATATATATCAGATACTTAGAGCATAGAACCACTTAAAACCTACTTGGAAATTCCAATTGGCTTTAGTTTTTTATACCCTGTTCCCTTAGGGTAAAACAATATATTATGTTTGTGTGCCTGTCATGTGATTCTGTTCATATAGCAGACGGGCATATAAACATATATGTACATATATACGTACAAGTATGTACATAATGTACGTTACTCATCATATTTTTGCGGCTTATCATGAGATGCGTTTATTTTCGTTGTGCTAAGAACATTAGTGTCCCACTAACAAGCGTATAAAAAACTATGTGGTCTACAATTGAAAAAGATTATAAAAAACGGTAAGCACGCGCTTTTAAAATTTATGACGGTATAAACAAAAAAAGCAACAGTGTGAAAGCCGTCGCCGAGCATTAATTTATTTAAATTAAAAAAACAATGAGTCGTCGACAACATGAAAATAAACCATTTTTATTAGCGGTACAGAATTGAAAAATGATCAATAATTTCAAAAGAAGAATTAGGAACTTTTCCTTGAAAAGTTTAATATTTTTCAGAATTTTTTGGAAAAAACTTAGGAATTTGTGTGTAAACTTTCGTTGAAGAATTGGTTTACACATACATATATATGTATTATGCAAGTAATTGTGTTTTCACACGGTTTTTATACTCTGTACATGAAATGTACAAGAGTATATTAGGTTTGCGGGAGCTGAAAAATGTAACAGGCAGAAGGAGGCGTGGCAGACCCCACAAAGTATATATATTCTTGATCAGCATGACGAGACGAGTCGATCTAGCCCTGTCTGTCTGTCTGTCCGTCTGTCCGTCCGTATGAACACCTGGATCTCAGAGACTATAAGAGATAGAGACACCAAATTTTGCACAAAGATGCGTTATGTGTGTATTCTATACGAGTTTGTTTTATTTTTTTGATTTTCCCCCCCACTTCCCCCCTATGGGGGTTTTCCCGATTTTCCATTCGTATAATCGCCTATATCTCGGAGACTATAAGACCTAGGAACACCAAATTTTAGTCCCAGATGCCTTATGTGAATACGCAGAAAATGTATATTTTGGAATTCCCCTCTCTCCCCCCTCTACCCCGCAAATCGTAACTCCCGTAATTCTTGGAATTTCGAACTAAAATTTTGGAAATACCCCCAGTTGGTTATTATGTGTCCGTATGCCAAATTCATTATGATAGACCGATTTAACAAGAAGTTATAGCCATAAATATATTTGCTGATGCAGCGCTGCTGCAGCGCTGCTCAAGCGCTGCCCGCGGCTGTTGTTGATGTTGCTGTTTGGTTGACTGCGAAAATGCTTACACAGACACGAATAGATGCGCATAGGCATACATACACTCACACAGACGCAATTGCTATGTAAATGTGCAATTATACACCCTTTACGTGAGTTCGAATACCGAGAGAGGTAAAATCGATCAAATTTTTTTTTTTATTTTCTTAATTTTTTTATTTTCTATAATTATTGTACACATATGTACAGAGTATTTCAAAGTCGGGACACCCGACTTTAGCTTTTTTACTTGTTTTTAACACGGTTTGAAATTTAAAAATGTTATATATCGTTACACGACTTTATTCCATTTAGCACGATTCATTTTGCACGCTTTTTCGTACACGATTTTTTAGGAACGAATCTACCGTGTAAAAACAGAAATAGGTGTAATGTTTTAATAAGAATGAAGAAATATAAAACAAATATAAATAATTTCACATACCACCCACCCTGCCAAGCTACATATATCATCGCTGTTTTTGTTTTTTTCATTTCAAATCTTTAATACCATAGTGACAGCACTAATGCACATGTAAGACTCTGATAACTACCATACTGGCATTAATGGGTTTTATGGGAACAACAAGTAATTAAAATTAGTAGTATGGTACATATGAAGTAACATGAAAATATGTACATAAAGAGCATAACATGAAAGTACATATAGAGGAGAACAATAACAGTATTATTATTTACAATATACTATATTAGAGTAGTCTTCGTTATCATCGCATTTATGTTTACTTATAGCGTGACTCTCAACAAGTTCTTTGTTTTCTAATACGCTAAAAACAACATATTATTACACACAATTAAACTAAGCTAATATAATAATAATATACTAAAAAGTCAGTGACACCTCATTTAGCAGCACAACAATCATGTTAAATAGTGCATATCAGCAGTAGAAGCAGTTAAAGGTGCTGTCAGTCGATCTGAGGCCATGAACGTAGAAGCAACCCGTCTAGTGTGAGCATCAGACAAACCCTCTGTTATATCGCCGAAATCTGAAAACAAAATGCCTCCAAGATGTTTGCAACTGGCGAACATCAATCCCAACTTCATAAACATGGAGTATGCTGTGCGTGGACCGCTGGATATACGCGCTGGCGAGATTGAGAAGGAGCTGGAGAGGGGCGTAAAGATGCCGTTCGATCAGGTAATACGCGTCAATATCGGCGATTGTCATGCCATGGGACAGCAGCCCGTCACCTTCTTGCGTCAGCTGCTGACATTGACATTCGAGCCACGCTTGCTCTACTCACCGGACTATCCGGAGGATGTTAAGAAACGTGCGCGCCTCATATTGGACAACTGTCAAGGTCATTCGGTGGGTTCGTACACAGACTCGGCCGGTCTGGAGGTGGTGCGGCGTCAAGTGGCCGCCTTTATTGAGCGACGCGATGGGGGTGTGCCCAGCGATTGGCAGAATATCTACTTGACCGGTGGTTCCTCACCAGGCATCAAGAGCATCGTTTCGCTCATACATTGCCAGTTGGATGGGAAGACGCCCGGTGTGATGGTTCCAATACCTCAATACCCATTGTACTCTGGCGCCATTACGGAGTATGGAATGGTTAAGGTGGACTACTACCTGGAGGAGGAGACGGGCTGGAGTCTAAATCGCAAGGAGCTCCAGCGTTCCTTTGACGAATGCCAACAGCATTGCAATCCACGCGCCCTGGTGGTCATCAATCCGGGCAACCCCACCGGCCAGGTGCTGACCCGCGACAACATCGTCGAGATCATTAAGTTCGCCCACGACAATCAGTTGTTGCTGCTCGCCGACGAGGTCTATCAGGATAATGTGTACGACAAGAACTCAAAGTTTTATTCATTCAAGAAGGTCATGCATGAGATGGGCGAGCCCTACAGCAGTCAGGAGCTGGTGAGCTTCCACTCCACATCCAAGGGATATCTAGGAGAGTGCGGCATACGTGGTGGATACATGGAAGTTATGAATCTGTGCCCCAAGGTTAAGGCCATGCTCACCAAGTCCATCACAGCGGCTTTGTGCAGCACCACGGCTGGTCAGGTGGCAGTCAGCGCCTTGGTTAACCCCCCACAGCCCGGCGAACCGTCCTACGAGCGCTTCATTAGCGAAAATAATGCCACGTTGGCCGCTTTAAAGGAGCGTGCCGAGCTAGTTTACAACGCACTCAGCGGCTTCGAAGGGTACAAGGTGAATCCGATACAGGGCGCCATGTACGTGTTCCCCCAAATCGAGATACCGCCCAAGGCCATTGCTGCGGCCAAGGCCAAGAACATGGATCCAGATGTTTTCTATGCCTCCGAACTGTTGGAAACGAGTGGCATTTGCATTGTACCCGGTAGTGGGTTTGGTCAAAAACCAGGCACCTATCACTTCCGGAGCACGATTCTGCCACAGACAGACAAACTTAAGCTGATGATGGAGAAATTCCGGGTGTTCCATGCGGAGTTTATGAAGAAGTACAAGTAAATGACTGAGTCCTGGAGAACTGATTGTTTTGATGCCCTACCAAGCATTATCTGCTATACTATATTTTATTTTATTTAGTAAATCAACAAATAGTGCTGTCGATACATATACAAAAACTATGATTTATATTATAATGTGTTGCTATTTGTGAAATTATATGTACTCGCACTTTCTAATAGTTATACCTTTGTAAGGAGCTGGAGCTCTGCAGGCAGTGTGCTTGGCCGGCTGCTCTACTCGCAATATATTGCTACCCAGACAAAATGAAGACCATATGGAGGAACCCTTTGCGGTTATTTATAGCTCAAAAATCCACATAGAAACAGCAGATGAACTACAGGGTTATTTAGATACACTTGGAGCTTGGTCAACCCTATGAAGACGTCCAACCCCTACTTCATCTTGCACGCCTAGTATGTAGATAACCTTGTATCAGCCAACGCAAGCTAAATACCTAGGCATCACCCTGACAACTACGCCTAAAATACATGGCCAAAGAATGCAACAATTTCGAGGGATAATTAATAGAATTGGCATATGCCTCCTAGAGCCAAAAGAGCTACTGTATATCACCGATAGGGCTTTACGGTATACAGATTTGAGGGATCGCCGCAAAATCTAGTTGCAAATAACTGCCCCTGGCACTTGCGCGGCTCGATCGCTTCCCCAGACCTAAACCTTTTCAACGTGGTACAGCGGATTGGAAGGCACACAAGCAGATACAACGGGATACGACTACTACCTGCCAGGCCTTTCCAAAGACTGAAAGATAACCATAAGCCGCCACTTGCTCATTAATCCTCTCGCAGAAATGCTCAACGTTTGGTTACTTTGAAACTGCCAACTTGAATTGTTAAGGTGTTACAAATAACCTCAGAATGTTATAAATACTTGCAAGCCTAATCGGTGTAGACTTATCGTTCTATCACATGATGCTAAAAAGAAAGTGCACTCTTTCGAGTGTTGACTGTATAGACGTATTAATAGTCGTATTCATCTGCCTGCTTAGAGGCCGGCAAGCCAGTTGCTTTGGTCATCATTTCACCTGCTGTTGATGCTGCCCTCATGCTCCTGCCTTCTGGCTCCTCAGATGTTGCGCATGCGCAGTCAACGCCCGGTCGTTTGCTAAATGCTCCAGCGCATAAATTCTATAACGCTTGGGTGTTGGGGTTGTGTTGGTGCTGAAACTGCCGCTCTAATTTATAGTTGCCCGACTCGTTCGCTGACTGGTTAGTTGGCTCAGTTGTTGGTTGGCTTGTTGGCCTGTTAAGTGATGGCCAACAGTAGTTGTCATGTGGTGCAAATTGCTTGGAGGTTGCCAAAGAAGAGGCAGAGTTGTTGCCTTTTTGGTGGCAAAAGCATTTCACATGCGACCAAAATTGAATGCAAAACCGTTTGCTGTGACAAGCCAAAAGTACAACACAAAGGCATGCATGCAGCGATAAATATCTGGCGGATACTTTTGCGCACGCATTGATGCAACGCAAGTCAATGGCTTGCTGGCGGCCTGACCGCATGCCGCTGTGCATCTACAAGATACTTTGCGTTTTTATCGCTTGATCACAGCTCGCTGTACTGCCAGCCCTGCCGTTGTATGGATATATATACATTATATAGTAGTATGTATGTAATTTACGCCTTAGGAGTTCGTTCCTCGCCTCCTTGATGGGCTGTAAAATGTTGCCTCACTTCCTTTGGTCAAGCAGTCATAACTAGAACTTGTCTTTTATGATTTCAGGCGTAGTTCTAATGCCTTGAAAATACAAAAAAAAAATAGCTGTCTGTAAAAATAAGATAAATTTTATTGGGTTGTAATCCTTGGAGAAAAAATAACAGCTTTCCAATTTCAATTAAAATGCTGATTTAGCATAAAAATCAACAACTCTTCCGCTATCCTCCTCTTTAATAACCATGCCCCTTCCTCTTTTTTTTGGTCTAATGAGTTGAGGAATCCAACCGCAATTTAAATCGACCTTAATAATCGACACCACACACACAAAAGATGTGAACACGTTGTTAACTTCATTTTTGTAGGCGGCGTCAAAGTGAAAAATGTTGCGGCGCTTTTGTTATTGCCACTGGTTTTTATGTTTATGGCCGAACGCTACCTGCCACATATTCTTTGTGGTTGCCACGCATCGAAATTGTGGCAACGACTACTGAAGGTTCCTGCTCTTTTCGTCTACTTCTTTCACTTGAATGATGAATGAAAGTTTTCAAATGCAATGAATAAAATGAAAATTAATGAAATATTGAGTAAAGATGAAAAGTTGAAAGGTTAAAGGGTCACAGGATGTGGCCCGGCAGCTGCTACAAGTTGGGGCAATTGAGAGTCGCGACTTCGGTTCATTAAATCGAAATTGGTAACATATGCAGAAGCAACAGATTATCAGCGACTCGTCGGACTCGCGACTGACTTTTAAAATATGATAATTAATTCATTATCGATGCTCGGGGCCTCAAGACAGGCGCTGCCAGGCGCTGACAAGGATTTCGCTTGCAATTAAAAAGAACAAGACACAAAAATTGCATGCAGGCCACAGCATGGCCAAGAAAGCAGCCAGCCAGCCAGCCAGCGAGCCAGCCATCCAACAATCTGGCCAGCGAGACAGGCAGCTGGGCAGGCAGGCAGGCAGGCACTCAGTCAGCTTTCATTCATTAAAGCGCGCCCCTCGCTAAGCCTGAGACTAAAAACTGATTATCTCCATAAGCGCCTAAAAATCGCAGCCACCAGCTACAGCAGCAGTGGCAGCAGCAAAAAATAATTGCCCAGAACTGTTTAACATATCAGAAGAACGAGCCAAGTTAAGGAGTGAGTCAAGAGTGAGTATTTTTTTCGCTTTTTTTTCAAAATTTGCAACATGTCATTGGGCTACATCGTGAGGCACTGAGGCACCCTCAGCTGGCCGTTGTCTGTGCACCTTCCTGTTGCAAACACTCACACACACACACTCACGTCTGTGTGATTTTGACTGCGCAGGACATGGACATGGACATGGACGTGGACATGTCAATGTCTGGTGCATGCCTCCGCCCGTTTGTGCTGTTGTTTTCCCTGTTGTCGTTGCTGTTGTAGTTGCTGCTGTTGTTGTTGTTGTTGGAGCCAACACTCAACTGATCTTTTAGCGTTAATTAACAACGAATTTTCGAAATGCAAAATACATGCAAAAAATGGTAAAAACCGTGTAGATAACGAAGCAGAAATGTGTTTGTGACAGAAAGCGCCAACCGATAGAGTAAATATTTAATTGAAATCGGAAACTATTATACAAATAAAATAGCATGCATCCAGTGGCAACAATGCATCAGATAGACAAATTGAGTAGCGCAGAGAAAGGCCAAATTTATAATTAGTATAAGACATTGCAACAATCTGGTCTAGAAATAATGAAATGAAAAATATTGTTATACCGTTCACATATCCATCCTTGATGGTTGCACCAATTAGCTGCACCAATTGAGAAGCGCAGATATATGTACAAGTTACCGCTATTATTAGACATTTCAAAAGTCTGGTCTAGAAATAATTAAATGCTAAATATTGTTATACTGCCCACATATTTCTGGTGGGTTCGCATTGTTTTCATATCTATATGCCCAATATCAGCAGATCTAGTCAGATGAATCCAAAATAACAAAATATCTAAGCCTCACCTTCAAAGCCAGTAATCCCATAGACTAACTAACACAACTAATTCTGTGTTTATACGGTAGATTGGTTCCAGAAAAAGTCGTATAAAAAAACCGTGTTAAAAAATACATTGATCATATGTTATTGTAAATCTTGCTCGATGGAATAATGTCGTGTAACCATATATACAATTTTTAATTTTCAAACCGTGTGCAAAAATACCGTGTAAAAAAAGAATTATGAGAATACAATTTAGTACAAACAAAAATATCTAAATCTATTTTAAATTGCTTAACTAAAATAGCCACATCAAATATTTCATAATGTGTAGCCATGGAATATTCTTTTCAGTCCAAATCATTTAATTTTAAGCAAGTTATATGATAGTGTACCAATTCAATATCAGAACATATACAAATCATATGAAATCTGTTTTATTTTCCTGAAAGAAAGCATCAAATCGTAATGAACAGAAAACCATGCAGAAATAAGTTGCATTTCTGGAAAAGAAAAATCATTGAATATATTTTGAAAAACATATTGTTGCATAAGCAACAAAATCATTTTTTATCGTACTTTTTACTGAAGTACAACTATTATATCTTTTTGCTATTAAATTGATCACAATGATATGTCTAAGATTGAAAAATACACGATATAAAATACTATCGCATTTTCATGTCATATTTTCTGTTCGCGTTGTTCAATTTGTTTCAAATTCACAGTTGAATCCATCTTGAGAATCGCCGAGAAAGGCGCGCCCTTAATTAAGATTAATAAAAACACATATGTTGTTTTATTTTTATTATTTAATATATTTTTATTTACGCAATCTAAAATATAACAAAATCGTTTAAACATTTCTTAAAACTCATTAAATTCATGTGTCTTTAATGTATATATATATACACAGTAGTACAAAAAGTATATCTAAGTATTAGACTGCTTTACAGTTTCTGCTTAAATATACAAGGAAGAACTATGAACCGCTAATAGACGACCAAGTAGTCTCACAAATTGCTAATCGCTAAAGACATCATGTACAGCAACTTAAATTAGACTAGACAATTAAATTAGCTACACATACTTGTTTGGAAGAATTTAAAGGAAGCACTTGCAAGACATTGAAATTGCAAAACTTAACTATACAGAAGTGTTTCATTTTTATCTCTTTTTTTTTTTGGAAGGCAAGTTCATTTCATTTCTTAAGGCTGATATCGCTAAACATTTTAGGAAGCACAACTTTTAGTAAGCCTATGTACAAAGAACCTTCGGATGCACTTAAATGTTAAATCACAGTAGCGAGATTTGATTTTTTAAAATTTAAATTGGTTTTCGACGCGCGTTACCAAAATTAGTTCAGAACTAATTTCCGACAAGCGTTCTACGGCCATGCCCGTTAGGAGCCTCATCATCTGGGCGGACAGAAGCTGAAGTAGGGAAAGAGTTGGCAGTGTAGCGAGTAGAAGCGCTTGGGATCGGTCTTGAGATCGAAGCCATCCACCTTGATGACATTCCACTGGTTCTTCATATGCGCGTAGCTAAAGGATACCTGATCCTGGAATGTATCCGAGCGTATGAACTCCATGGGCTCCAAATGCGAATGGAAATTATCGACTACGGTTAAGGGGACCTTCAACAGATGCTCTGTGGATTGAGAAGCAGAGAAACAAAATTAGCTTAAAATATACAATTTTAAAGGCATTGTAAGACAATCAATGAGTGAATTGGGCAGCGATCCATCTTTTATCTTTTAATATGAAAACAAATATTTTTAAAAAGAAATGCTTGCTCAAAATATAGAAATTATGTGATATTCCGGCTGCGACTGACATATAGACGGAAAAGCTAAAGAAAGCAGAATGTACGTAAGCTTTTTTGGTGTGAATTTCAGCCATTTCTTCCTTTTTGCGTGGCTACTGCGTCCCATACAGATATTTCATAGAATTTTTTGGGGTAGACTAGAATAAAATAGTGTCCTTAAATATAAGGAAAACAAAAAACAAGGATTATATGTATGTTAAATTATATTTTTTAAAACAAATAATGTATTCTTATTAGGTGTACTTAAACTTTTTTTGTCCACTGTATGCGACTGACAAATTCTTACAAAGATATCTGACGCGTAATGTGTTGTAGTGATGTTTTCGTTCTAATTATTGTAAGACTTTTATTCTCTTAACAATTCCCTTTGCAGAAGCGAAGCTTTTAAATTCTTGACTCTAAATAACTCTTTGTTATATGGTTTACAAATTGGTTTTGAAATATTGTATCTGACGTATATTTATCTGACGTGCCAGGCTATCGCTTGTTTCTTTCGCCTCCATCTGAAGCTTTTTTTTTGCCTTAAAAACTACTTAGGCTAAGCTTTTCATATTCTATATTTCTTTCTTCATCCACTTACCTATAATGAAGCCCATTGTGACATCATCCGGAAAACGTATCTTATCGCCAATGCTTATAAATTTACCACCACCTGCTATGGGCAACATCTTGAGCGTCAGGGCACGGCTGAGACAGAATCCAGCGCCTCCAGTGGCAAACCAGAAGGTTATCTTCTTATTGGTTGTTGTGTTCTTCTGCAAGTATAAGAGGGGCACAAAAAATGCGGGCTTAAGACAACGGAAGAAGCAGTTGCATGAATGAAAGATACAGAAATTCATTTTTCGGCAGGCCGAAGTTGGTTTAAAAATTAAATAAAAATAAAAGGTGCAGGAAGGTGCAACAAGAAGTGCGGTGAGTTGGAGTGGCAGACTGTTTCAAACATGATTAATTGACCATGTAAATGGACATGTGCGCAGCACAGCAGGAGCAAAAGGAGAGGTGAGGAGAGGAGAAAAGAGTACGAGGGGATCCATGGAAACTTAATACTTGCTTAAAGGTAAACTGAAACTTAACAGGATTTTTCGTGACCTTTTTTTCTGCTCACAAATGAAGCGTAAAGTTTGGGCTTTTAATTAAGTGCACACACACACACACACACACATACTTGAACATAAAAAGTTGTCCAGACGGGAAATTGTGTGGCATGTTTTTATAAATCTCTAAGCCGACAAAACTGTTGCATTGCACATTTATTACCGGATCAGCCACCAGAGCTGAGCGCTCGCGATATTTCAAATGCGGCTTGAAAAATCCAGCTCTGAAATGGAGTGTGCGCCTGCTGAGCCTCTTGCTGTGGCTATGGCTGCGGCTAAGTCTGCAACTGGCAGATCATATCGGTTATTAATGATAGCTTTTGTGGCAGCTGGAAGCCAAATGGCGGCATAGACAAATGGCCGCGGCAGCGTGTGCATAAATAATAGCAATCGGCCAAATAGACACAGTGCGAGAGAAAGGCTTTAAGTCAGCCGCCTATGTAATTATAAGTATCTACATATATACGTATGTATGTAATACAGGACTGCATGAATGCCACTGAAATCAGCTTTGGAACATTCTTAGGAAAATGGGTTATGTCGGCGGATGGACTTAATGAATACTAAGTATATTCCTTGCGGTTGAACGGTCAATGATCAATAGGATATTGCGAGAATTTTATTTTAATTTCCAATGCAAGTGCTTTTTACGATTCTAATAGAAATCTTCTCTCACAGTCTGCTCCGATTTCATTTCGCTTTGAAAAAAGAACTGTTGCATTTCGCACTATTAATATTTATCTAATATTGAAATGATTCAATATCGTAAGCTTCATTGGTTTTAACCTTATTGAAAAACATGGAATTGAATAAATGCGATTTTCAGGTAGTGAGGTAAATATGCATCGATACATCGATGTATCGATTTTTACCTTAACGATTGTTTTCGATTTTAACTCGATGTTTTTAGATTCGATGTTAAGATCGATTTCTATAAAAACATCGATTTTGCGGACATTGTAAAACAGAGAAGTCCCGAGAAATACACAAAGCCTTTAAAAAGTGAAACTACGTATGTACATACATATATAAAAAAAAGTGCTAGTAAGTTGCAATTCCCATTTCAATCGAAAATTACGATTTTACCATAAAAATGTATAACATCGATGTTCACTTCGGATTTACATAACTATTTTCAGTTTTTTAAATAACTATCGATAATCATGAAACTATCGATTAAATAGTCAAAATATCATTAATTTTTAAAAAACTTCATAAATATCAGCATCCCTAATGACATATAATTAGTATGAACATTGCACTTACACTATCCAAATGTATCTCCAACGGCGATGAAATGCTCGGCTTGCCCAAATACCAATCCACTGTGGGACTGTACTCATCCAAGAGCTTGACCAGACGAGGCACATTGACATAATTGTCATCGTCAAAGTGACAGAACCATCTGGAAAATGCACAATAAATACAAAATAATTAAAAACCGAATATTTTAGTTTGTATAACATAGCAAAAATTAAGGATAAACTGTCGCAACAGCCTTTTATTGAACAGAACAGCATCCAAGTTGTTCTGGTAATTTCAAAAGTTATAGATAAAAACAGAAAGAAAAAGAAAACATAATGCCGGTGAAGTTGGAGCTAACAATGGAGGAGCTGGTCCGCATTGCGCTGGGCGTTCCGGAACTAACCCGCGTCAACGTTGCAGTTCTACAGAGCCTGCTCGTCATGCTAATGAAGAAAATCAATTGTCAGAATGATTTGGTCACCATAACTGGCTTTGAATCCAAGTGCATGGAGAAGATTCTGGAGCAATCAAAAATCTCACCAATACCGTTCAACGATGAGAACATTGTGCCCATTTCTGAGAAGCTGGACAAGGTCAGCAGCATGGAGAAGCGCATCGAGGAGCTCGAGCACAAATTGGAGCAGCATTTTCAACAAATACGCATTTGCAACAAGGTGAACGACAAAAAGTATCAAATGAGCACCTGGGAGAAATACTCATCGCCCTGCGAGGATCTGTGCACCGCCTGCGATGAGGATAACAAGATCGCCTGCAGTCTGCTGCAGAACATGGACTTCATGAAGAAGCTGTTGCGTCGCGTTGCCACGCCCATATTGGACCAGCTGGATGAGATATCCGCAAAGCTGGAGCGCTTCTATGAGACGCTCAAAGCGTTCCTGAAAAAGGCCGATGAGCTCTTCGAGCGTCTTGAATTGGTCAAGCAGTGTGTGGTGGAAATTGAGAATCTGCGCAAACTGGTCGAGGAATACAATCTAACATTCATCGGCACCATGGAGGAGCTGCAGGACATGCTGGACTCCAAACTGGACAAGGTGCACATGCCGGCTCTAAAAAAGTACATACGCGATCGCTTCGACGACATCGAAGTGCGTCTCGTTCAGATCGAATCCAAGGAGACCTGCCCACGTGCCGCTGGCTTTATCAACACGAACCTCAAGTGTCTGTCCTGTGGCAACACCAACATCGGCGTCGATGTGGGTCCTCAGACCATGGGCCTGTTGCCTAAAGCAGTGCCTGGAAAGTTCAAGGAAGTGGCGCATCCGCATGGCAAGGATCATCCCACAACTCGCAGCTCCATGACCTCGCACCTGGCAGACAACTGTTCCAAGGCAACGGTGTGCCGTGCTCTCGAAAAGGAGCCAACCATTATGGTGCGTGTCCATAACATGAACCTCGATATGCTCGCCCAGCGCCTCAATCGACCAACTACTGGCAAGTTTTGCAAACTCCCCGAGGCCAACGATACCATCTATGGTGTGCGTAATTCTTGTTTTTCTGGTTAGCATTCCATGCAATTTGCATATTGTTTAGTGAAGAGAACTCGTGTTTCCCTCTAAATTCGTTTGCAAAAGTATAAATAAATGTATTACAAAAAAAGCATAACTACAGGAGATTCCGACTTCCGTTCAGGGCTGGTCAATAGTGTTGTGCTCAATATTGTGACACCAAATGCGATTTAATATCAGTGATTACATTACTGCGACTGCTACTCTGTGTCTAGATATCTGCGACTGCTTTTGGGTTCGGAAATGAAAAACGCTTTTAAAATGTAGACAATTGTTCTCAATTTTTCAACACTTGAAAATGTAGTCACATCTAAAAACTGGGTAGTTTAATATTTATTGCGAATATTTGAATAATTTTTAAAAACAATTTTTTAATTGGATTATTTATTGAAGCGCAAAATAGGAATCATCGACATGAGTTCTTGAAAAATACGATCTTTTCATTAAGATTATCACCTAGGTGAAATTTTGTGTGTCTCATTTGTTGTTGTTTTTTAATGTTTAAGTAATAAATAAAAAAAGATATATTTGATTAAAGTTAAATGACAAATATAAATAATATCTAAAATTAAGTTATATAGGAGATAGAGCTTAAATTTATTTTAAAAAAAATGTCGACTTATTAAGCTTCTTTCTTTTTAAGTTATACAACATTATTTTATGGTGTTGCCTTTCAGCTAAATATTAGAAATGCCTCTGACGGAAACAAAAGAAGCCATTATAGTATTTTTCCAATAACTTGAATTGCAAAACGTCTTCAATGCAATCATTTTCTTGATATTACTCTACTAAAAGATACTTTTCTTTTAATTCAAAATTTCATTATTAATTTTATGAACTAATTTGTTAGTTCAAAAAACCAAGCAACACAGTTCAGACATACGTATAAAAGCTACCCTACAGAAAATAAATAAGCAGCTCATTCCTTAAACTCGACCTCCAGTCGGCTAAGCCATGAAATCACAATCTAGAATCTCAATTGTTGCCAATTCACAGTCCAACTGTGGACTGTGACTAAAAAGAAATCACATTTTTGTCCAGCACTGCTGGATGGGCATAAAAAGTGGACTAATTTAAATCGCAATTATCCGCCAAGTCAGCGACTTAGGAGGGGCGCTGGCTGCTCAGAGCTGCGCAGTGTGATGATTGGTCAGCCCTTTAGTTTTTTATTTTTATTTTTTTGCACAGCTGCAACTTCTCGAGGCCGAGATCGAGATCGAGGCCGGGGCCTGGGCCGAGTCAGTGACAAACGATCAACCATATCCGGCATGCCGGCGGCCCCAGCTACCGGAGCCTAATGATGCCATTAATGCAGTTGTCCGACAGCGCCCTCCGCGCATTCTGCAATCCGCTGACAACACAACAGGCCTAAGACTGAGAGTCTTCTCTATTGACTTTCGTTGAGTCCGTAACTATTCAATAAAATCGCAGCCGTAATTTAATATAATTTTTATTGCATAAGCCAATTGCACAGCTGCCGCAAAAAACAGAAAAGAGGGAGAAAGAGTTGGCCAACACAAGTCGTGGCATTCATAAATTGAGGGTTTGCAGTTGCAACTTCCAACTAGTAGTCATACATGAGGCTGCCACATGCGATACCTGTGCGAATCCCAGCCAACATCCAACATGCAACACACAACGGGCAGGAGGAAGCAGTCGCCCCGTCGACGACTCAGTCGTGTCGCATAAAATGCGCTTTTAATTCACTTAATTATGCGCTACTCGCAGCCAGAGCTTAAAATTGAAATCTAGCAGGCATTTTATGTGCAGCCTTAATTAACTCGCCTCGCTTTTCTATGCGCTTTTCATGTTGCCAAAGGAAACTCTTATGAAAATGTTAATGTTTATTTTTTTCGGTGTTTTGTGTTTCATTTTTCTGCCGTCGTTGAAATTCGGCTGCATTTGCATAAATGCATTTGAATAACACAGCATAGTGGGACAAACACTATTGCAATTCAATTTAAATGTGTTGTACAGGCTAGAGTGTATTAGGGATATGGAAACCCCATAACCACTACGAAAGAAAAGTTAACTCCAAGTATCTCAATAGTACATACAAACTGTTGTAATTAACTTAATAAAATCAATCATCATTTTTAATGGAGTATAGAAGTTGTTATCAGATTGGAATATCCTATAAATCATCTTCATTTCACTTCTTGTGTATTTGAAGCCAAGCCGATAAATTCCTTTACTTAGATTTCAGATAATTAGATTAATGGGAAATCATAAAATCATAAATCCAATTGTGCCATAAGATTCCTTTTTAAGCAAAAATATGTAGTTAAATTAAATTAATTAAACATATTTCGAGGCTCGAACTAATTATAGTTTCATCGAAAGAGTGCTCCTACGAAGTTATATATCATATAAAATAATATAAAGGTCGTTCAGAGATCTACTGTAGAACTCCATCCTGGTAACTGTAGATACTAGATTTAGTAATCTTTGTAAAGTCTTCACGATTCCGTTTCTTGTAGCCCAGCAAGGAAATATTTTCCATTTATCTTGTCTAGACTCTGGACTCACAATCGTTTGGTGTTTCGTACTAAAATGATAATGATCTTGTCAGTTAATCTTTACAGAACTGTCTCATTTACTCTACAAAAACTGTTCAGAAGAATCGGAAGAATCGCCCATACTTGTATTTATAGACCCAATTATTTATACATTAAATATCAAACAGTGTTTCAAGTATGGGTTAGAACCTTTACAATACACTGCAATTATTGTTGCTTAATTCTAAATCTTTTGACATCTCAGGGGTGCATTAGATTGTCTCAGGGCTGGTGTATGGTGTATCGTTCTTCCCTTTATATAAGGAATTGAATTAAATGACAATTATCTCATGCTTTCAAATCTTGTATAAAGCGTAAGAGAGCTTATTGTAGTATGCTTTCAATATTAGATCTACAAGTATTTATAGACCCAATTATTTATAAATAAAATGTGTTTCAAATATGGGTTTAAGTCTTTACAATACGCCGAAACAATTTTTGCTTAATTTTATATCTTTTGACCTTTCAAGGATGGGCTCAGGGCTGATGTATATTTTGCCAGCTCGTTTAATGTTCAGTTCGTTCTTCCCTTCTAAGTTTATATAAGGAATTGAATTAAATGACAATTATCTCATGATTTCAAATCTTGTATAAAGCTTAAGAGAATGTATTGTAGTATGCTTTCAATATTAGATCGATATCTGCTGAAATACAAATCACTGTGCCATATGAGCTGTGCAGCCTCTCAGTTGGCGTACCACCAACGAAGTTTGGTTTGTTTATTTGGTTTCTGATTTGCTGATCGCTTCGTAAGCAGAAAGGACTAGTGAGCTCGAATGGCCGATTCGGCGTGTTTGTGTGTGGTCGGAAAAGAATTTGAAACGAGTGCAAATAAATTTTCATTGCCTTAGCAACTTCCAATAGGCTGCTGCTGCACTACATACTTGTATATCGTTCCAATGCTGTATATATTTATCTTCAAGTGTGTGTGTGTGTGTGTGTGTTTGGCAAAAACGAACTCGAACTAATGCCAAAGTGCTGGGCGAGTATCTGGCGTTGGCGTTGCAAGCGAAATGAGTTTATGTCTGGGGCATAATAAAATATGATTGACGGCACTTCAAGTGGGTGCCTTTGCAGAATCAGCAACGGCAGCCGCAAACAACTTCAGCTCCGGCTCCAGCTCCGGCTCTGGCTGCGATTCTGAGCGTAGTCTTAATAGATTTCGCATTAAGCGCAAAAGTAAAGCAGCCAGTCAGCCCCCCTAGCTAAGAGCAATAGCTCTCTAAAAGGTTTTTTTTTTGACAGGCTACAGAGCGCTACGTAGAGTTGCAAGCGATAAGCGATCGCCAGAATGACGAACTGATTTCAAGTTCGTTCGAGTTCGCAATTAGCAGCCAGTCAGCTGTCAAGTGGCAAATGGCAAATGGCAAAAAGTAACTGAAAGATACGCCAGCCCTATGGATTGAATTGATACAAATCAATATGTCAGAGAACAAGATATTTACATTAGCCATAAAGCATCACAGAAACAGCACAGGACGGGGGGACACTCAGACCGTTCCAGTCAGTCATTCGGCTATAAAAATGCAATCGGCACTTAAGGTATATAGTATGGCTATCTCATTAGCAACAGCAACAATGACAAGTGGCAAGCAACTGGAGAAAAAAATGAAAATTAATCGCATTTCATTTCATTTTGCTTTACTTCGGTCCCTGCCATTAAGTGCAACATGAGTCACGTTTCTGTCCCAAGATTTATGACTCGGCCGTTGTTGGTCGCTGTTGCGCATGCGCCCATGTCTGTGGCAAGTGGCAAGTCTGTGCACCCGCTGTTTGTTTGCACGCTTTAGATACAAAAGCGTTTTCACTTTTGCTTTGACACGCTCGCTGAACAATTGGAGCGACAATTGAAACGCATTTGTCACTTGCCCTGTCGCCTGCCCCATTGGGGCTGCCTTCCCGGCTCGCTGGCTGGAGCTGACAAAATAATCATTAATTTAAGGCATTTGGATGGCCTGGAGAGACACACTTGATTCTTGGTGGTGGCAGCTACTCGTACATGCAAGCATTTTTTGTGTCTTATATAGTTGTAGTTGCTATATTTAAAAAATTGTCGTGCAATTCAACACGAATTCGAGGGAACAAGTGGCAATGATTTGCTGTTTTTTTGTTTTTGTACACTCATAGAAAAACGCAGGAAAAAAGATGCAGTTTAGTGCATTTTGTTTCAGGGATAAATATAGGGATACTTGAGTTCGTTAAAAATTATTTATTTAATGTCAAGTAGTTTTTTCACATTTTTACTGAAGCCTGAAGCTGTTAATTATTTGTGTGTGTTTGCTAACTTCCTCAAAAATCGATTGCAGCCAGCGATTACATTTAAAAGTAACATTTAGAGGTAAAATATTATTTACTTAAACTGCTTCTACTAGACCTTGATCGATTTTAAAAACCCCCTCCACCTTTAAATACGCCCCTCTTCCAGTCTATTTATGAATTAATGTCTTGCTATTTGATAAGAATACAACAAAAAATAATAGTTTGCCGTTTATTCAACAAGCTTTTTGAATTATGAAGCTATCTAAAATTCTAATTTTCA